TTCGACTGAGAGAACAAAATCTCACATTTTCAGTCCTGGTCCAAAAACATTGCCCTCACAAGACTGGCGGAAAAAAAATAATTATGGGCTTGTTTGTGCGGCGAGCTGGATAAATTGTCCTGACATTAGCAGACAAGTCACATTTTATGGTTTCGCCTCACTTACCAAAGGCTGTGGAGATGACACTACATGTCGCGTTCATGTGTGAGCAATGTAAAATGCCGGGTCCGCACAGAAGGGGCAATGCTCTTTGGCCAACTATGGGGCTATTTGTTATCGCCTGAGCTACCCATCAGATGAAAAAGCTGTTCAAGGTGACCTTTTCTTTGCCTACAAACAATTGAATCACATAGATGGTGTTCATTAAAGTGCATAAATATAAATAGTGTTTTATGCCAGCAGGTTCGAATCCCACAGAACGATGGTGAGAATTTCGGTTGAAAAAAAGTGTTATTTTTTAATGGTCCCCGCCTGGTGGATAGTTGGCACGTAAGAAGTTATCGTACAGAGCACACATTAAGAAATGTCTCCATTGTTTTTAGCTCCCAAAAAAGCTGGTATCTAAGGTTGAAATCAACGTAACCTTGCCATCACAAAGTCCGCCACGTCTTGTTATAATGAATGATCTTGAATATTAAAAACGAAATTCCTTTATAGTCTGCAACGCTTAGAATTTCAACTTGCGAACATGTAAAGCTCGCGGACTATAGTCAGCGAAATAGTGTACTTTGCATTCTAGAACTATGACGCCGCGTCAGTTTGTGCTGAATGCGCCTAAAATCCTCAAGCGTTGGCGGGAATCGCAAATATTGTACAGCCGGCAAAATGTTACTCAACGCAGGTCTCTGCTTCGTAATTGCCTTAGCTAAAAAAAGAAAATACATAGAATATAACAACCATAAAAAGGACAAGAGAAAAATAGATTCAGTGGTGCGTTTGAGCACTGACCTTGCCGGCAAATGATTAATTTGCATGCATGTCCCATCCCGGCTAAGTCGCAATAAAGTATGGCTACTGTTTAAAAAAAAAAACTCGGAAGAGGCAATTAAAACTGCTTACGTCTCGCATTCCTACACAGAGCGCATTCCTACAAGCAGTGCGCCACGTCTTTCTTTTCACGTGGCGCTCCGGTGCTGACATCCCGCTCCCCCGCTGCGCAGGGGCGGCGAACGCCCGCCGGCTTCACGACTGCTTCCGTGACGAAGCATGTGCGTTTCTGTGGTTTTCTTTGTGTTTTATCTCTGAGTCGCGTCCGCGTTGACTTTGAGCGCCCCTGCCACCTTCCGTGACCAGGCATCTGCGTGGCTGTCGTTTCCTCGGCCAATAAGAATTTAGGTGCCGTTTTTCGCTGCTACAGATAACGTCTACAGATAACCACGGCTTCGCTTTATGGGACCGTTAAAGCTTTCGTATTAAAAAGACTTTCCATTGCAATGTAGTCAACGGTATGAAGTGTGCACGCCCGCGCGTATACATCAGTGACAAAGTTATCAACGCTTGCTGTCTTTACTTTTCAAATTTCCGCAGAAAGCTTTTCTCTGTGCTGTTTTTGAGGGAAGATTGACACTTGCCTAAGATGAAAGAAGTAAAATTATAATATAATCGCAGCATCTTGTTCGTAAGTCCCCCGCGTTAAACTTTAATTTTTACACATGATTGTCTTTTTTTCTCTCTCGTTTTTCTTCAGGGAAGGGTGTCATGCAAATATTGTAGGACTAAGCCGCAATTTGTGTTCATTTTATTGCATTTCAATGAAGAAAGTATTGGGCGAGATGACAAAATTATTTCGTGGATGTTAATTGGAAATTTTAGATGTGTGTAAAGTAATTTTGTCGAACCATCAAAAAGCGTCTAAGCCCCCCCCCCCCTTCCCCCCCCCCTCACCTCCCCCCCCCAACCTCTCCAAAAAAAAACCACTTCGCATTTAATTTGGTAGAGTAGAATTAAGTTCAAAACATTTTAGATCCCACTAAAGGACAGAAATCTTTCATCAAAGTGAAAATCTGGCTCTCAGAGCTCAGAACATTAGCAACATCTTTCAATAGGGGCGTTGTTGTTTTTTTGTGTTTTTTTTTTTTAGAATGACAAATGTTTTTTCAAGATTGGAAGCGTTTTCATTCGTTTAGTAACCGGTCCACGCTGTGAGGCGACATCAATTTTGTCTGGACAGCCCAATCTGTTGTAATTCAGAACGTGCAACTTCTTTAAATTTCAACGGCATGGAATATATCAACCTGTCTATGAGCCGCAGAAATATTCGTCGTGTCCGTCAAATTTCGTAGTTCTGAATGGAAGAAATATCTGATTGCCATTTACCTTTGAGCTTAAACTATACATTTTTTTATTAGAAAATGCAACATAGCAACTTACGGCAACGGCTATATAAAATATTGAATATACATATCAATGCCTGTGCGCATGCCTCTTGAATGTATCTGTATCAACGTATCTGTCTAAAAAGGCCTTAATTTTTTTAGCTATTGTATCCGTGTTTTTTACTATTGTGTATATTTTATGTTTATATGAATACACAACGCACCCATAGCCTAATTAGCGAAGTCGCGGCTTTTTTGTAGTTGACCTTGAATACCATAACTGAAAAACCTACATAAGAAACCAGCATTAATAATATTTATGCCTCAGTCTGTTAAACATTTTGTTTTGATTTCTAAGTTTTCTTAACAACATGACAAATTGATAACCGAGTGAATAGAAGACTTGCAAATCTTCGGGAGGCTGTTTGTTTAAATCCAGGATGCTTGAATGAATTCTTATGCTTTTCAAATAACATTGCTGAGCGCGCAGGAGAAGTAGCCTCTTTGTTTGCTGCAAATGCAAAAATATAAAAGCAAAGTTTGCATTAGGCTGAAAATGAGTAATTGTACTAGTTAACTGCGTCGTAAAGGGCTACTTACACTCCAAGATTGATAGTTTGTATCGTCGTTAACGAAAAAACATTGTCCCTCGGGATTATCTTAAATATTTTATGATTGGAAACAGCGCATTTGAAGAGAAAAACATTATTTCTAAGACGCCAGATTTTATACTCCTGCCCGAATCAACGACGTGGTTGGCGAAACGATGCTGTTCTCGCCTTTTTGGATGACCTCCCAGCACACGTTTTAACTGACTTTCTCTTTTTTTTTTAATCAATCATGGAAATAACGGGCGCTCTTGAGTGTCAACTGGCCAATCCTAGGCCTATTTTGCTGTACGCTTGCGCCTGCACTTTCTCCGGATGTAGTAGACGCGCCACTTTTTAGCTCGATTTTTCTTTTTCTTTTTGTAGCCATGTATTTAATGATTATAATGTTTTTGAATTAGGCAAAAAGGAAAAAGTTGCATTGAAGACTGATCAGCGGCTCAAGGGCTAAACAAAACTGTTGGTCGCTCGACAATGAATATTTTTTTCCAGTGAGTACCCAGGAATGCGAACATCACATCCCATGGCCTTGCTTCCCGCTATGGCTATTTTCGGAGGCCAAAGTTGCAGGCGACCGATATGTTTAGTACCTAACTTTGCGCGTATTTGTCTTTTTTAACGATTTGTTCGAATTGTTTATGATAGATGGATTGGGCGACGCGTGTATTACGACTATGAATGCTTACTGAATAGATTTTCGCTGAAGCTTTTATCACACAGAAGAACAGTCCTTGACTTGGTATTCCTGCATAAGATCATTAATGGTGCCATTGATTCTTCATGGCTTATTAGTAAAATCCATTTCCATGTTCCTTTCCGTGCGACAAGACAGCTCACCTGTTTTGATATTTGCTCACCATGCCGTGTGTCACCTCTTTCTCGTTTACAGACATTGTATAACAGCATTGTGCCACCTCAAGTTGACATCACCACACCCCTGCCCACATTTCGCTGTCAGTTGGACGAACTTTTCGTCAGTTCATAGCGCGTCAGTGTATATGCATATCTATTTCTTTTTAATGAGTAGGATTTTTGTTTAAGAGTTTTTTTGTTTTTTTTTTATTGTACGAGTTGGTGTACCTAAGAGAAGGCCGCTCGGCCGTTTTAGGGCACCCGAAAAATAAAGATTATTATTATGATTATTATTATTATTATTAACCATCCTTGTTTGAGTATTCCCTAGTGCGGGGCATAAAAGGCAACGATGTCAATGTATTGTGACGGGCGGAACCAAGTTGAGCTGTCCTTCATTCGTAGTTTTATTACAGCTCCGCAGACGGTGCTCGTTACTGGAAAAAAATCCATTGCTTTCTCGAAGTCCGAAGTCCGAGCCGTAACCAACATCTCAATGGATCCCATTCCTTTCGACGCTCCCAGCACAACGTTTTTGGCTCAATCACTTGACAAGCTCCACGAAAGAGCAGCGTTCGAAATCGGTTCTTCTTTGTTTCCTCTCCGCGAGCCAGTCGGGCGGATAGTGTTGCAAGCGCAACCTCCGTCGAAGAAGGCAGCCAAGGAGGCATCCAAGGAGTAACTTGACTTTACCACAAACTTTGTTTACATAAAAAACAGTTTACAATTCCTTTCCATCGCAGATAATGTGCATGCAACTTTCCACCGGTTACGCCGCTTCTGTCCATCGGGTGGGCTGATAGTGCAGCGAGTACCACCGAGCGGACGCGCCGCCATATGTAACCGCCAGGCGCCGCTATATTTCGTGTAAAAAAGAAAGAAAAATAAAGCAAGAGACGGCTGATGCCTCGTTCCTAACGCTTCCGTGCTTTGGATTTCTATATTTCAGGGTCAGCGGTGTTCTACCCTTCCGATGGTCCTAAAAAACGTGTTTGACGAATGCTATTAACAATTCTTACAGACATTCAGCTAGCAACATCCCTATCTTTTCAAAGCCTTCTTCTCTTACGTCACGAAAAAGCGAGGAGCAGTCCGTATTGGGGGGAGGACGCAGATCTTTCATGGGCTCTTTCGCACGGTAAGGAAAAGTATCGAATTAATGATGCGATGAAATCTGAGACGAAATCTAGAAGATGCAAAATGTATATTAAAAAAAACTCATTACAAAGAAAAATATAAACAAAAGCAGCAATTTTTACAACGAATACTCGAGCACACTTCAGTCTAACTCAGTTCAATGTGTTGAGCCAGTAGTGGTATCTTATACCCCAGTCAGAAAGGCTAATTTTAGTGCACTTCAACGGTGTGCACTTCGCCTTTAGTGTCTTTTGTGTAGTGTGCCTCACGGCTTCTTCCTGAAGAACACACTTGGCTGCAAGTGAGTTTGCGTCTTCTTCTTTGTCTTCTTTTTTCTTTATGTTACCTTTTGAGGACCGATCAGAATCATCCAATTGGCGTAAATATTGTCAATTAACGGAACGTAGGGAGAACACCGGCACGTTCCTCCGCTGCCTTGAGAGCATCTGGCTTTGTCCGGAGGGTCTGCCGGAAACTTGCAGCCAGTCCTGGTTCGGGCCTTTTGTCGAAGAAACCAGGCCTGGCTGTCGGTCGCTCCACGCGCGAAGTCCTCCACGCTTTCCACTAACCAAACCGAACACAAGGAGAAGGCAAGTTCCTCTTCTCCTCGTCTCGGCTCCTCTTCAGCGTTGGCTCTGGTAAAGGAGAAACCGAAAGTTTATCGAGGTATCCCTCGCGACCTTACAGTTACCAATGGACTCTATTACCCCTTTCTCCTGTTTAACAAGGCCAGTAAAAACAAACTTCAAGTCGACATTGTAACATCATCCTGCTGCTCAGCCAATAGCAAATTAGGTTCCGCTTCGCTCAGCCAATGAGAATTCAGGTGCCGTTTATCGCCGGCTTCGTTCCATGACACATTTAATGCTTTCGCATTAGAAAGCGCAGTAGTTCGGCACATTCCTCGCCTATTTTTCCGTGCGTAGTTGCTTCTAGCCGGGGAATTTAGCAACGAAAGACACAATACGAGCCCTGGCGTCAAGCAAATTTTTCCCGAAATATTTTGGGGGATATTTGGCATCACGTGAGCTATTACGTGTTGTCATAAATTCACCTAACACCACGACTTGACCTGTGACTTGGTGTCACGTGACTTCTCTTTCCCCGTTAATATGAGCGGGAAAATTATGGAGCAGTGTTCTTCAGTGTCCGAAAAAACGGAAAAATGCCTTTAAAAATGTTTAAGGAATCGCTCGTTAAATAATAATAATAATAACAATTTATGTCTTTATTTTGCCAACAGCATACAGTTGGAAGGTGAAAGAAGAAAAAGCTGTAACACAGCTTGGCTAGTCCCGAGCCACGTAAATGGCAGCTGAGACGCGGGAACCCAAATTATTTAAGGTAATTAGGAAATAAATGAAAATATGAAGAGATCCTTCAGACGAGAGAAAAATCATTAGTATCATTATGTAATGCAAAGCCAATTTGAACAAGCAACGGCATGAGCAGACAAAACGTGGCAAAAAACAACTTCAACCCTAAAACATTCACACGTTTCTTCTATTCGTTTTGGTTTGAGATGACTATATTTAACACTCATCTTCTATTAGGTTTGGTTTGAGATGAGTATGTTTAATTCCCGTTGGCTTCTCATCGAAACTTAGTTCAGCTCTATATTTTCCACTCTGAACTGATTCTGTGTAATGAGAAGGTTGTATGACGTATCGTATTGTCCATAATTAGTTCTAAAAATAACGCATTATGAAATTTGGGGATGTAAGTCGCTGGCATATTTTCTTCATTTCTTTTAGTTGTGAATAGCGTTTTCTTCTAAAATGTCTCACAAAAAAAATGTATCAAAATATGCTTACCTTAAAAAACGTGTCACAAATATAGGAGAATATAAACACTGATATATGCCTTACGAAAGCGTTAATACGCCTTAGATGAATTATATAAGTTATCATATGTTGATTGGACGAATCATATATGTAGGATATGCCAGCTGAACGAAGGAAGAAATAGCAAGACACAGGGAGTCACGAGGGAAAAACACACGCACTCCGCTGGACTAACAACCATTTACTGAATGACATATTTTTCTTCGTCAACTTTCATTTAATGGAAAACTTCTTTTCCTTCGTCGACTTTAATTATTGCCTAGATAAAATATTTGTCCCTCGTCTTCATGACAACACTTAGAAAAACCTTGCATCCCCAGAGATAACGTCTCCTGTGGGCTCATGCGGGCTATTTTGCAAAGGGGGTGTTTCCTGCAAATACTTCTTTTCTTTTGCATGTCCTACAATGGAGGCAGTGCTTGCGCAATCGTCTTTCTTCTCCTCAATGGCTAGGGACTCTAGAATTTCCATTGCGATCTGTTTTTTGTGTCTAGCCATGATGGTGATGTTTGAGAAACAGAGAGCACATTGGCATTCGCGACAATGCGCTGGAAGGTGGCCCGCTGCTGCAATTATGCGCACGGAGGCGGCGTGTTCTCTCGTGTGGTCATTGACACAGCGCCCAGTTTGTCCGATGTAACATTTCCCACATAACAGCGAAATATTGTAAACAACAGCGCTTTCCCATGGGGCGTATTGAGTCCTGTGTGCTGTGCCACACGTGTACTTTTCGTTGTTGCCGGCCTCACTGTTAACCTTGCGGCTCATGGCATATGCCTTATTGGGAGCTGAGAAAGCGACTAGTATTCCATGTCGGCCAGCGATCTTTTTCAACCGATGTGTAACCCCGTGGACATATGTCAACACAACTAGAGGTTTAGGAGGTATATTTTTTGGTGGTTGTGCAGTCTCCCTTGGTTCGCGTCGTACATTGCAAATGCTCTCACAAACAGGTACGAGGAGTGTGCTTGTGTATCCGGAGTCTTGAAACCTAGAGATCTGTGTTTGGAAACTGCGCTCGAGCCTAAGGGGGCAAGATTTCTGTAGTGCCGCGACAAGAGCTGTAGTAGCGAATCCTCGTCTAACAGTTTTTGAATGTTCGGAAGCACTCAGAAGAAATCCTTTACAGGATCTAGCTTGATACATCCAGCATACATGTGTGCTTGTGAACTTCAAGGAAAGATCGAGAAACTGAATACGAATCTTCCGATACGTAGATGACTTTCTTGTACTGTGCAACTCTGAAGTCGACGAGCGGAGTGATGGGTGTTTAGAAGTAGCCATGCGCAGTTTTGACTAAAGCTGCCCTGGACTTTCCTTCACCCATGAACGTCCTGTAAACCGGTGTATTCGGTTTCTCGATCTTTCCTTGAAGTTTACAGCACACACGTATGCTGGATGTATCAAGCTAGATCCTGTAAAGAATTTCTTCCGGGTGCTTCCGAACATTCAAAAACTGTTAAATGAGGATCCGCTACTACAGCTCTCGTCGCTGCACTACAGAAATTTTGCCACCGTAGGCTCAAGTGCCGTTTCTAAACACAGATCTCTAGGCTTCAAGACTCCGGATACACGAGCACACTACTCGTACCTGTTTGTGAAAGCATTTGCAAGCAAGTACGCCGCAAACTAAGGGAGACTGTATAACCACCAACAAAGAAGCCTCCTAAACCTCTAGCACCTCTAGTTGTGTTGCCGTATGTCCACGGGGTTACACATGGCCAGAAAAAGATCGCTGGCCGACATGGAATACAAGTCGTTTTCTCAGCTCCCAACAAGGCATTTGCCATGTGCAGCAGGGTTAACGGTGAGGCCGACAACAACAAAAAGAACACGTGTGGCACCGCACACAGGACTCAACACGCCCCATGTGAAAGCGCTGTGGTTTGCAATATTCTGCTGTCATGCGCGAAATGTTACATCGGACAAACTGGGCGCTGTGTCAATGACCGCACGAGAGAACACGCCGCCTCTGTGCGCACAATTGCAGCAGCGGACCATCTTTTAGCGCATTGTCGCGAATGCCAATGTGCTCCCTGTTTCTCAAACATCACCATCATGGCTAGACACAAAAAAAAAGATCGCAAGGGAAATTCTTGAGACCCTAGCCATTGAGGAGAAAAAGGAACATTGCGTAAGCACTGCCTTCATTGTGCTACATACTAAAGAAAAGAAGCATTTGCAGGAACCACCCCCTGTATAAAATTTCTGGCATGCGCCCACAGGAGACATTATCTCTGGGGGTGCAAGGTTTTTCTAACTGTTGTGATGAAGACGAGGAACAAATATTTCATCTAGGCAGTAATTAAAATCGACGAAGGAAAAAAAGTTCTCCATTAAATGAAAGTCGACGAAGAAAAAGATGTTATTCAGTATATGGTTGTTAGTCCAGCGGAGTGTGTTTGTTTTTTCCTTGTGACTCTCTCTGTCTCGCTATTTCTTCCTTCGTTCAGCTGGCATATCCTACATGTATGAATAACCAACCTGCTCAGCTTCAGGCAATTAAAACGAATCATATATGATTTTTTTCTTTTTAAATAAGGTGAATGATCTCTGCTCGTAATTGCATACACCGAAGAAAACCTGAAGACGCCATTGATTTGCATCGGTACAGGTTGGAATTGACCACGGAAATATTGCGAATAAGGAAGATAAGTAGGCAAACACGAGTTAAGTTGAGTAAGCAAAGTTGATCCCTGTGAGAGGACAACTGCAGTGAACTTACGCGTTATGACTCCATGCCTCGAAGTCCTCCTTTGCACAAGTACGCGTGATACGAGGCACAGGAGAGCGCATCCCGCCGCGAACACACCGAAGTAGAAAAACATCCACCGGCCTCCAAATTCGGCGAATGCCGTCCCACCGACGAAGTTACCAAGCGACATCCCTGGAACAAGAACATTTTCACTGAATTTAAGGGGCATATGTTCAGTAAAAAAAAAAAAAAAGAAGAAAGTCACTTTGGACGTAAATAGGATACTGTGTTTTTGGTGAACGCATATAAACCCCGAAAATTACCTGCCAAGGCAATTTCATGAAAAAAACACATTCTGAATATTGTTTACCTTTAAAAAGAAAGGAAAAGGTCGGTTAAAAGGGAAAATATTGTAGCAAAGAAGATGCAGCTAAGCGTCTTCTCCGCCTGAGGGAGCACGATAATGAGGTGAAACGAAGCTGCATCCAAATCATCCGTTCAAAGCCTCCACCCGGCAACTCAGCATGTCAACGCCGGCACAAGTTGCGATTCAGAGCTCAATAGCATCCTCACAGTTGGAGGTCACATGTGTTGGTATGGCCGGTAAATAATCGAAGTTTTGTCCATGCGACAAGCCAACATTGGCACCCCATTTCTCCTCCTCTTCGACACCGAGATCTCGTATCGTCGTCAACAACTGGAGCCCATATAGGTGGCCCAAAGCCAAATCTCCACACGCGTCACTTGGTCGACAAAGACCCTTCCCTTTATCCCCTTACATTATCTCCTTTCTCTTCGCTGTTTAGTCATCAAAAAACGTCGATAAATGTTCAAGCTGTCAGTTGGAAAGATGTTTTGTCCTGTCCTCGTCCATTTTGCCGATCATGTGACTTTTCTCTTAACCCGTAACCATTACATAATTTTATATTTTTTGCTTTTGATTCGCCTTTTGGTGACGATACTTTCGTGTGCGTATTGCACAAATACGTAAATTGTTGCCTTTCAACCTTTTTTTATACTATTTTTATAGAATCCTGATTATATTTTAGGCGCTTTATGCTCTAATTTTCGTTGTCGTATTACTATTTTCATATCTGCTTCAGCAGCTTGTTCTCACTCTGTTTTGACCATCTAACTATACTGTAAGTTTGTTTCTAACGCCTCTTTATTTATTTATTCATTTTTTCGTGATGCTGCTATACTGCGGGTGGGCCTACCGAAATATATCGAAACAATGCACATCAATATGGTAGATGCAACGTGGAATAAATGTAAACACGCAGGGTTTAGATTGTGATGTATTCTAACCAGCTCGCCTGCATACTTTCGCTTCTTGCATGTATCAGTGCCTCCCATATACTTCTAGTGCTTGGCAGAACGGCCTGCCGAGGCCATTGTGCCACCACTCGTGGCGACCGCGTGGGGGCGTTGTGTTAACGAGGTCTGCATATATCGTCTAGAGAAAGCAACTGAAACCACGGAGGACGTTAGCACCTTAGTTGCGGACGCCTACTGGGCAGGCGCCTCTAAGGTGAGCACGCCTCGCGTTGTCGTGCGTCGAGTGGAAAGCAGACGAAAATGACGTGACTCTGATCGAGCAGTTGGGAACACTCTCAAATCCAGGGCACCAGACTAGACGGTCGCGCACCAGTCACCTAGCTGTGTTTGGAGATTTGTGCTTGTACTTTGTCTCTCTTGTTCCCCCTCTAAAGGGATTATTTTCGTCATTCTTGCCCAGCTCGCTTGCAGCTTTGCATTTAATTCCATTTAAAAATAACCTTAAAAATTGTACAGCTTTCACTCTTGTTTTTGTTAGACTGTTGGCTGCAGATAAGACCTGTTTGCTCTATGGACGTACTCCTGGTTAGCTCAGTTGGTAGTGCGCTCCACTGGAAATGGAGTTGTCCCAGGTTCAATACCCGGACCAGGCGGATTTTTTGGTCGCGCACCCGTCACTTGGCTCTGTTTAGAGATTTGTGTTTGTCCTTTGCCCCTCTTGTTCTCCTCTCCAAGAATGGGTTTCGCCGTTCTTGTCCAGCTCGCTTGCACCTTTGCACTCAATCGCATTAAAAAAAAAAAAACACTAGACAGGGTTTGCATCGCCTACTTTGGCCTATTTTGTCTTCCCCATTCGACATGGTTTCCGTCATCTCGCGGTGAAGATATGCTGAATGAACAGACGTGCTACTGAAATGTGTGCAATATGCGTTTCAAGAAAGGCTTTACTTTATTGTATTTCTTTGGTGGGTGGGGCAGAGGGGAGGGGGGGGGGGTGCTACGGCGTCGACTCATAAGATACTCCTGTTTTCATTGCAATTGCATAGCATTGTAAAACAAAAAAAGAAAGAACGTTGCAATTACGACAGGGAGTAGAGGGGATTCTTTGCAGCCACTACCGTGTGTGTACAGTGGGTACAACAGTGGCAGCTACCAAAGACCTAGTTTCAGTAACGCGCCGAACTGGTTACAGTTCTGACGAAGGCGGCGGCTCATTCTTTGGCCAACATTTTGCCAGGCAATGAAGAGATATAAGAGGCAATGCTAGCATACGTATATAAACATGTTTTCTATAAAACGAATGATTGTTGCCTTTCAACCTTTGTCTTCGTGTTAACAATGCACATCAATATGGAAAGAAGCCTTTGTGAGGCACCCGCGCCTGGTGGAGCCTATTATGTTGCAGGGTCATGTCCATTATGTTCGCGCTACTGGCTTCGGGATTGGTCCTTCGTCATTTTTGTCTGCTAATGCAGCTATCTAATTGACTGGAAAGCGCCCTTTGCTCCTTAAGGTATTACAGACTACGGCTTACCTGAGTGGGCACTAAACTTACCGATGGCTTCGTAGCAAATGTTGAGGACGCACAAGACGGATGCCGCGGTACCCTCCGGCGCCACCTCTTTAGCGAAGACAGTCATGGCGGGTACCCCGAGTGGAACTGCAGCCCCGGTGACGGGTTCGACGAGCAGCGCGAACCACGGGTTGTAGAGAAAGGCACATCCAACGTACCTCACACCGAAGATCAAGAACATCAATATATACGAGGGATAATACCGCGTTTGTTTCAGTATGCAAGCGGACGCAGAAAAGAAGGGCAGTTCTACGCAAATGCAACTGACTGCGGATATTAATCCGATTATCAGTTTAGAGGCTCCTATGTCCTCCAAAAACCACGTGTTGTACGATATGGCGATGGAAATGCAGGCCCCGAAGGCGCATGTCCAGAAGGCGAATACGGCCAGTTCGACATTAATGAACGCAGTAGAGATGTCCTTGAAAAAGTTTGCCGATAGCTTGGTCATACGAAGAGTGGGCATGCAACAGAGGAGGAAACTGTCCAGGATAATGACCAGTGCAAAGACAAAGTAGCTTGGAAGGTAGCCTGATCGTCCACCCGTCCATCGGTTGGCTTCATCAATTATTGCTCCCACGATAGGACCAGCGGCACCCATACCGATTGCCCCTCCCATTCGCTGCCATCCGAAGTCCCTCACATTTTCAGCCAGTATCTCAGAAACGCCGGCGTCAGATATAACAACCACAGCCCCCAAACACAACGACGCGAGGGCATGAAACACGGCATAGAACCAGACAACTCGTTGATCTGTCAAACCTGCTGTGCAAGGGCACCTGAACTGACAGGCGCTGCTGTGGTAACCAGACGTGCCATTCCAGAGTGTGCGACAAGTGGTGGAGGTGTTCTGAAAAATGTAGCTCACATCGATTTCGTTGAATTCGGTGGCATTCGTTGGGCACGAAACGAAACACTTCTCCGGTGGTTGAAGGCACACTGAGAACGAATTCAAAATCGTTACGTTTTCTCCTGGACATGAAACCTCCCCGTTTGGTTCGGGCGTTTTGATCATAAAGCCACTGAAGTAGAGAAAGCCATAGAATAGAACTGCAACCAATTGAAGAGTCAGCAAGATCCGGGTTACGCTTTGCGTACGGTCAGCAATGTATCCCATTAAAATCTTCCAGGGAATAGAGAGCAGAGGTGTGACTGCTAAAATGTAGGCCATGGTTGCTTCAGGGATTCCGTTTCTCCGACCAATGGCAGGCGCGTACGGCAGAGTGCAGCCCACGGCTGGAGATGGAAAAAAAAGGACGATTGTCATAGCGTTTGCAACAACAATGTTTTATTGCTAGGGTCAGATATGCTATAATTTCAACATTATAAATTACACTTTATACAGTCAGATATTTTCAAACAAGTAGTTAAGTGCTTAGCTGCATGATATACAGTGATATACAATCAGAAAATTCGAAAAAGAAAATAAAACCTTTAAACCGTAATATCCCGAAAGATAGTCAAATTTAAATCGAAAGCAAGTCGGGTGAAAATAAGGAGCCGCCAACTTTCGGTGCGGGATCAAAAAAAGTTTCAAAAATCTTCTGTTTGAGATTGTGTGACTTTCGAAACTTCTGGCTGCAGAAAATGAAAGTCGACTGTTCTTCTCAGTCAGCAACGGTCGCTGATTCCCTGAAATAGCTAAGTAGCAGCATTTCTGCCAAGGTCACCTTTGGCCAGGGCCCTGCATTTCTAAAAGTGGGCTATCTTTCGGTGTTATTTTTTTTTAAATAGCGAATCTTTAAGAATATAAAAGGTGGGCTACCTTTCGGGAATGGGGTATCTCTCGAAATATTGCAGTATATCGCGAGAGAGACATCCCACTGGGACATGCATTGTAAACTGGTAGTGCAGTGCGACCCATACTTAACGCCGCCACTCGAACGCCCGGCTTTGGCGGGGCGGCGCTATCCTGGCGGAAGCCGTTTCAACTAGCCGCGTCACGTCACGTGAAGGCCATTCCCAATCTCCGGACAGGGGGAATGGGATGTAGTAGGACCGCCGCTATGGGCGACTGACTCTGCGAAAAGTGCAAACTCATTAAGTCGGAATCGCGTTTTTTTTTGTACGCGTTGTTTTTATTTTAGCAGCGCCTTCAAGCTTCCTCCTCTACGATTCATTATCAATTTATATTTGTTATTAAAAATTTCACTTACGCCAGCTTGCCTGTTTCGTTGAACAGTCTATGCTTTTTAGCGGCAGTCCTTCCGTTCAGTTGCTTTATCTAGTTGCTAGTTGCTTTAACAAATCATGGGGTGGCGCCACGGCTGGTCCATAGGAACAACGCGTCACGTCGAGCTCCCGCTCTTTGGCCCCTTTCTGACATTTTCTTCGATCTTTTCGAGCTCCTTTTTGCTACCTGTCTTTTCGGCATGGTGACCGTACCCTGCGGACCCTTTTGTGCATGGTGTTGGCTTTTTTTCTGGACTGTTTTGCCCAAGCCTTCCTACCACACGTTGTGGGAGGGAGCTAAGCCTACTTGTCGCCGGGGAAGCATCGGCGTCGTGCGAGCATTCCCTCTCCGCCGGGTGCCTTCATGCGTACAGCTACGATGAGTGACACGGCGAGCTCTGGGATGACGAGCAGCCAGCGTACCGAAAATGAATGGACGACCATCGTCCGCGATAATATTAACCGCACCTTTAAAGAGTCCATGGCCGCCCGGGCTACGAAGACCGAAGCCGCCGTACCGAAGAAACAGGATGGTGACGCTGCCTCGGCTCCCGCCGTCAAGAAGCGGCCCGCCGCAGCCAAGCGACGCAGGGGTAAGATGACGATCCCTCTTCCTCCTCTCCCCATTGTGTATTAAGTCATGTTCCGACCTCAGGGACTCGACTTTTCTCAAGTTTCGGCAGCCGACGTCTTATCAGCAGTCGTCTCGCAGCTCGGCCTGCGCAACACCTCCTACACAGCTTTAATGCCTGCGCGTTTCGTCAGCTGACGTCACGTCCGCGGGTCCCGCACGGGTGCTGATTGGATGCGAGTGCCTCGTCAGCGTTCGCGTGAGACTGTGATAGGAAACGAGCCCAACGCGAACGCTAACGCGGCACTCGCTTCAAATCAGCGCCCTTGCCAGACCCCCGGACGTGACGTTATGTGATGTAACGCGGAGGCTTTGCTGTCTAGGAGGTGTTGGCCTGTCGTCGCGCGAAGTCTGCTCCCTCGGCAAGTTTCGCATCACCCCGCGCAGCAACACGGTTACGGTCAGCACGCCGGACGATGACAGGCAACTAGCCTATCTGCAAACTCGGCCTCTAGTGATCGGTGGTAAGACGCACGAGGTCACGGCTCACATGGCCACTCCAAGCGACTCGACGGGAATAGTCGTACCGAAGGCCCTCTCGTTCGAAGGAATCAAGGATGTGGAAGGCATCTTGCTTAGTTGTATAGAGCAGAACCCGCTATGGCAGGTACTCGCAGCGCGACGCATGGGCAAGTCACAAGGTTTATTGATTACCATACGAGGCAGGAGGATCCCGACATAGTTCTACTACAGTGGCTTAAAGGGGGTAGTGTGGTTACCGCGTAGCCTCCACCATCCGTCAGGAACGGCCGCTCCTTGGAAGACGGTGCAGGTGGCGCTTCAATCTGCAGTTCCGTTAGGGTGCCTTGATCGGCTTGGAGATAGAGGCACCCTAACACGCTTTGTAACTAATATTAATGCCTCAAAAGCAATTATTTGTTTCCAGTGAACTTCCAAGAACATAATTTGTGTTTGACGGTGAATAAAAATGTAAAACTAGCAGACGACAGTGTAGTCGACAGCTGCGAATCGGCCGGAGCTGGCAGGAGCCAAGCTGACCAAGCGGCCAAGCCGCTGCAAGAGCCAGCGCCACCCGCGGCCGTCTTCCAACGGTGTGCCGCTTCTCCGGTTTCGTTCGTTACACTACCCCCTTTAAGACACTGTAGTTCTACTTCAATGGGTTTACCATCTCCTGTTTCCTCTACAGAGATAGAATCGAGGCGTGCGTCAACTGTATACGAACGGGTTACCGGGCCGACGTGGGTCCCATGCCACGCCAGAGCAGGTGCCACCGCTGCGGAGCCCAACACCCGTCGCAAAACAAAGGTGGCTCGCACTACGAGTGCCAGCCCCTGTGCGCCATCTGCTGGGGCAGACACATCACGGCCTCCAAAGAAGGCTCACATCGCTATGCTCGTCGTGGGCCGGCGCCGACGGTACCTGAGAAGCAACGATGGTGGCCCATAGGTCCCGCTTGCGAGAGGACAGCGGTGGACAGCGAGGTTCCGAGCACGCAGCCGTTCGGTCTGCGGCGGCATTCACGACCTGCTTATGTCGCACGGACGATGACGACGAGGTGTAGATGTGTCTGCAGCGCTCGAGAATAAAAAATCAGTTCGAATCCAAGTCTGTTGGAGCTGGGGCGAAAAGAAGCAGCTCGGACAGCGGTTGGATTCGAACTGATTTTGAATCTCTCGCGCTGCAGAGGCATCTCCACCTCGTCTTCATTGTCTGTGCGACATGAGCAGGCCGTGACTGTCGCTAAAGGTCTCCTTCCCTTCCCTGGAGGTCAGAGGCCGAAGCGCTTACAAGAATTGAAGTGTCTCGAAGAATCGCAAGCCCAAGGAAGACAGGACGGCGTGGGCGTCTGCAGCTACGGCCGATGCTGAGTCCGCGCTAGTCATGGAACTCAGGCGGCGGATCTCCGACCTTCAACGACAACTAATGGGAGCGTGCGTCTCTAAAATGACAACTTCAGCGCAGAAGACGCTTCTGCGGCCTCCGCCCCTAGCGCCACCCGCCACCAACATCCAGGATACGCCGCTTAACCCCAAAACCTCACCTGTCCACGTAGTAGCGGAGCTGCTTTTGAAACCGGTGCCGGTACCGGAAAATAAACCTCGCAAGCGCCAGGCTACCAAGGCGGCACCACCTCCCCTAACAGAGAAAGAGCCATCAAAATAGACAATGACACCTGCAGCGTGGTCAACTCTGCGACTGTCCTCGCCGCCAAACAGCGACTGGAAGCTCGTAAGGAAGCATTCACACAACGCCTGGAATCCCGGCACACCACTGTCGATTAGGCAATTAAGGAAATCCGGCACACCTAGCAGCAGATGCAGCAGCAGGTGCTCCAAACGCAACAGCAGATACCACAGATCCTGCAAGCATTCCCGCGTATCCAAGAACAGCTACGAAAACTCCAGCTCCAACATGACTGGACGCCGGCAGCGGCAGCAGCAACAACTGCAAGTGGGGCAGTGGAACTGCAGGACTCTCAGTTGCAAGAGGGGAACCTGCAGCTCAACATTCCCAACGCCGAGTACATGCCTGATGTTCTTGCCTTCCCAGAACCGCACGATGGCGTCAATTTGTCGGGTTACGTTCGCTTCGAGGTCCCCGTCCAGGCAGCAGTGAGAGGGCCACGCGCATCGAAACCTGGGCACAGTTTCGTCCGAAGATGCATACCGACGATCCAACACGAACCCGTAATTGACAACGTGCCTCACATCCTGGTCGAACTACTGCCCAGACGCAAGGAACGGAGCCGCGTCTTTCTACTCAATGTTTACAACCCCCCCTAGGGATCAGTCGAAGGTCACAGCAAAGATTCTCGTGGAAGTCCTCTGCGTCGCCAAAGACACCCCCCCACCCTCGGCTCGTCGAGGGTGACTTTCAAAGCCAACCACGTCGAATGGGGGCACCTACACACTCTACCTAAGGCCGTGTCCATCCAGAAGTGTGTAGACGAGCACGACTACACCATGTTGAACGATTTCCGCTGTCCCACCCGCATTTGGAACAACGTCTTCAGAAATACGTCGCCGGACCTCTCCATGACGAGGAAGATCGGTGAAGTGTCGTGGACGAGCATCGGGATCTCCCTCGGCAGCGACCACTACGTGCTCCAGATGCTCGTGCCGGTCGAAGGAATATCGGCCTCCGCAAAACGCAAAGTCCTGGACATGGATTGGGTCGCTTTTTGTCGCAACAGGAATGCGTCGGCCCCGACTATCATCGAAGACCTCCGCAGTTGGACCGACGACCTTTCCAGCGAGGAGTTGAGACAGTCGAGAGTGACGCCATCTCGACCTCTGGGGTCAGCGACTGCAAACTCTGGCTCATGTGGCAAGCTCACCGCAGTCTTCAGGCCAGATGAAAAGCACACGCGGGAAGAAACGCAAAGCTCCGCAGACGCATTGCTCGGA